ATTGTTTCAGCTAGTGTCATTGGCACATTCAACTGATGTCACAGCACTTGCACACAATAACTAGAGCTCATTTCTTATCAAAATTACCACATGCATTAAGTGAGAATTGCACGCGAGGCGCTGCTGGAGACTCTCAAGAAGTCAAAACCGGTGGCAGTGGCAGCAATTTTAATGCTCTGCTTATCACTGCTAGGGGATGGCTTTTAGAGCCATTCAGCCATTGTCATCATAAGCCATAAGCCGAAAAGGTTAGGAGGGGATGCTGCTGCAGTGGCTGCTGCTTTGGGGTTAGCAACACGAACCTGCAGCGGCGACGGCAGCGGCAGCGGCAGCGGCAGTCACCAAAATGCAACCCGGAAAGGCGCCAGTCATTGTCTGGCATTTGCTTTGCACTTCAGCGACGTTTGAGACAACAATGAAAAAAACCAAAAGAAGAAAAAAAAAACACTGAAAGCCCTGATAGAGCCAGAAAGAGTCGTGGCACGAGGCTAAAACCTGCCAGTGTTGAAAACAACGGAAATTTGCCTTTGGTGCTGTTAGTGTTTTCTTTTTTAAGACATACCCTGTAGCTATCACATGTTTGGAATAGGTTATACAAAGACGTAAGTGGCTTAAAGCGATAAGCATCGAAAATCTATTGCATATTTTGCTGCTTAAGGCGTAAAGTATTCATGTGTTTATCTAATCGATAAATATCAATTGTGACCGCTTTTTCGCAATGGATTTATATTAATTGTTCTTTTAATAAAATACTGCATCATGCAGATGCTCTTATTGGACAACAAGACTATTTAAATGAAATACTTTATAATATCCTTTTCCATTTCCATAGATAACAATCGATATCCAATTGTATTTTATTCTTGATACATATGTCAACTATGTAAAGTTTGTGGGAGCACTTCATACATTGCTGCGAGGTATCTGGCAGTCTTGCACTCGCCGCATAGGCATTCTAGCTTGTTTTTTGTCGATCTCCGCATTGGGTTACACGCGGTTGCCGAAACAAAAGAAAGCCTAAAGCCACGGCGACAAGCTCGTGAGTGGGAGCAGCACAAAGCTGCTTATTGTTTCAATGGATTTAGCTGAAACCAGCGACTGCGGACTCTGGACTCTTTCTGCTTCAACTTGTGCTGCTGCTGCTGCTGCTGCTGCCTCTGAGTGTGGCAAAGTGCTGAAGCATAAGATGATGCAGAGCAGTCGATGCTAAAGTCCTCCACAGACTGTGTCCGTGCTGTCGTTTAGGGTGGCTGCACTGACGACAACTCACACTTGCCGCAACACTTGCCTCACATGCGTCTGCCAAGCTTCAAGTGGATGGCACAGCTTCAAGTTTTTTACTTTCCGTATACACACACACGCACACACACACACACACACGCACACACACACATATATCTACAGAGCTCTCTCTATATATGAGACAGTCGTCTGTGCGGGTAACACACAACGCAACTCTCCTTCTAAGTATCTTGAGCTCGCCTGGGTGGTCCTTGGTCCTTGGAATCTGTGTGCCTTCAAATTGATGCGCATAAAAATTGAATTTGTTAGCAAAATTGACAACTGAAAGTTGTGTGTTACGTGTTACGCGTGCAGCGTAAGCAAAATTTATTTATGCTCTACGTTTTAGAAATTTATCTTAATGCTCTCGTAATGTGATGTCGTCTGACGCCAAAGCGAGTATAGACTGTACGGCAGCCAACTGACGATAGTTGCGCGTGCGACAGCAATTTACAAAAAAAATGCAAAACGGCAGCTAATAGACCTTCATAAATCAGTTGGGATCTCTGCATAAAACAACTCTATTTAAAATTGTGAAAGGAATAAGGGTAGCAGCAGGAGTTAATCCAAGTTGGCTGTACAGAGTTAAGTTTATATTTTTATACCCTGGACCCATTAAAAATGGGTATAAGGGTATATTGTATTTGTGCAAAATCCAAATGTATGTAACAGGCAGAAGGAAGCATCTCCGACCCCATAAAGTATATACATTCTTGATCAGCATCAATAGCCGAGTCGATCTAACCATGTCCGTCTGTCTGTCTGTCCGTCTGTCCGTATGTATGAACGCAGGGATCTCAGAACCTATAAGAGCCAGAGACTTTAGATGTAGGTGCTCCTAGTTCCCGCGCAGATCGAGTTTGGTTCCGATAATCGATAACCAACTCCGTTTCCAAGCAATCGATAAAAATCGATATCGATATCCTGTTTTTTGGGCAATTATGGTAAACAATAAGAGCTAGAGTCACCAAACTTAACATATAGCTGCTAAAATAGAATATATATATGCATTTGATGTTGGAAGAAAAGGGGTTCAGGGTATCCCCTAGTCGGGAGCTCCTGAGTAGAACCTCTTACTTTTTTTAGATTATGCTTGAGAATTTAATTTGTCAGTTAATATTTTAATATTTCAAAATTAAATTAATTGAGCAGCTATATATATATATATATATATATATATATATATATATATATATATATATATATATATATATATATATCTTACTATTGAGGCAGTTAAGCACAGTACGCTTTATTTGCCACGTCGAAAGTTAAGTTCCCATTTTGTGGGATTTACTTGTGTTGTATATAAAATGAAATAAATAAGAAAATTAGATTTTCGTGAACATAATTCGCAACCTTTGAGCAGCTGTTGCCAAATCGAGTTTATTGTTTATTGTCCCCGGTCTCTGAACAGGCAGCCCTTAAGCCGGAAACTGGCCGATTTCAATTTCTGTTGCTTATTTCAAGAAACTCAACTAAATCAAATGATAAATGCGGATTGTTGTAAAGTGGTTGCCAACTCGGTTTGGAACAATTTCTGGCTGAGGCCGGCATAAAAGCCGATGTCGAAAATCTTTATTTGCGCCAGCCATTTTTCAAAAGTACAATGGCAAACACAACCCAACCCCCCTCCCCCATCCCACACACACCCCCTTATAAGCTACCCCCTTGCAATTTCTCGTTACATCTCTGCTGCCTGCTTTCATCGTGTGCATTGTCGCCACGGATATCCGCCATGTTGGCTGCTGCTTTGTGGCACGTTCCAGTGCACAGCAACAGCAGCAACAGCAGCAACAACAACAACAACAACAACAACAACAACATGGAGCACAACTTTCATTTATGTATTTGGTGTTATTTAAATTTTTAACTTTACCTGCACCGCTGAATAAGCCATAGAAAAGCGTTGCCAACAATGCCAAAGCTGGCAAATAGCAAAACTTGGCTGAAATGCAAAAGTGGCAGTTGCCAAGATGCCGCAAGGCTGCACAACCCAACCCCTCCTCCCCCCGCCCTTCTGCAGGCACACACTTTGTTGCATTTCTGTGCAATCTGTTGAACATATATTTGCATACATATATTTTCCATATGCATATATGTATATATCTTTTTTGGCAGTCGTATTTCCTTTGCTTCTTAACATGTCTTTATTTGACGCGTTTCTGGTCGCATTCTTTTTTTTTTTTTTGTTAGCACAATATTTGCCTGTCCAAAAAAGGGGTATCCTGTTCTTCGTTGAAGGGCGCACTTTGTACCTGTTTACAATTCACTTTGCTGCACTTGAGAAATTACACATGCTACGCCCATTTCTCTGACGCCCTTGTACATTTTTCTTTTGCTTTTATTGCGCTCGAATTTCATTCTGGGGCCCGCTAGGCAAAGGGCAAGTAAATCGTCTGTCTTATTTGTCTACCACTACACTCTACACACCCACATACACACACACACACACACACACACACATTCAGCCGCACACACTCCACCCACACACACAAACAGCAACACACGCTTTTAATAAGCGCCAGCGTCAGCATTGGGGTTCCTTTTGGATCCTTTTGCAGGGCTGCCTTGTTGTTGTTGTTGTTGTTGCTATTGTTGTCGTTGTTGTTTTTGTTGTTGCTGTTTGCGCTAACCAACAACAACAACAGCAACAACAACATGATTGGTATTTTCCGCTGCAGACATTTTGCAAAGGTAGCTAAGCCGACCCCCGCTTCATTTTCCCTTTTTTATTTTATTTTATTTTTTTTATGCCGACCGGCGGCTGTTTTATTGATTTTATTTTTTCCAAGCTGTTCATTTTTGTGTACTTCCATTTTTTTTTAAGCATTTTTACAGCTGTGGTCGGTTCAAAAAAATGAAATTAGCAAGTTTTGTGGAATTTTAAGCGTCATTTGCTTTTAAATTGAAACCTGTTTCAGACATATTCCAGGAATTCAAGACTAAAGAAAAGTGCTCATGGAACATTTCATAGTAAAGCTGTAATTGTATACAAGAGGGGAAATTCGATTTTCGAAAGCGATTCCGGCTTCAATTTCTTACGACTCTGTAAGTCTTGTGGTATATTCATATTATTTGGAAAATAGTCTTAATAATATGAATTATATTTATATTTTGCGTCGAGTATCAGTCAAAGAGTCAAAGATATATGTATGTGAGCAGAGCGATAGGGGGATAACCTAGAGAAATAGTTGTATATAAGAATATAAGAATAAACAGATATATAGATACATATATATATACAAATAGCTCAACAAACATCCGACAATTTGTGATATTTCAGAAGTCTTTAAGACTTTCGCACTTGTGCAAAATTTCGAATAATTAGCTTTGGGGCACAATTGCAACATGCTGCCTTGGACTTGTTTTTCAGCTCATTGCATTTGCATTTGGCTTAAGTGAAATTCGAGCGCTTTCAATTTCCACCACCCGACGACAGTGGCGTTTTGTTTTCTTTTGGTGTAGGAGGTTTTGTAAATTTAGCATAGACTGTCCCCGCGCTCTGTTCCGTTTTCCCGCGACTAAACCAACTATTCATTAGTTGTAATAACAATGGCTGCAACCGAAAGCAAACTTTTCGCTAGCCACAATACAGTGTGCCCGAAAAGTGTGCATATGCATATGCAAAGTGCTCGGCAACAAGACAAACAAAACGCTGAGCACCAAAATTGCGACTCTTTTGTTTTCATATCAACATTTTTGCTTTGCACTTGCAGCTGGCATCAAGTACACGGACAACCAGCGCGTGATTATCCTGGTAAAGGATGTGAATGACGAGCCGCCCTACTTCATCAATCGACCGCTGCCGATGCAGGCGGTGGTTCAGCTAAATGCACCGCCCAATACACCAGTATTCACGCTGCAGGCACGCGATCCGGATACGGATCATAATATACATTATTTCATAGTGCGCGATCGCACGGGCGGTCGTTTCGAAGTGGACGAACGTTCGGGCGTGGTGCGCACCCGGGGCACAGATCTCTTCCAGCTGGACATGGAATATGTGCTGTATGTGAAGGCGGAGGATCAAAATGGCAAGGTGGATGATCGCAGATTCCAAAGCACGCCCGAGGAACGTCTATCGATTGTGGGCGGCAAACGGGCGCCACAATTCTATATGCCCGGCTACGAGGCCGAAATACCCGAGAATCAGAAAAAGGACTCCGAGTAAGTAGGGTGGGTGTGGGTTGGCATATAAATATAGATATATATGCAAATCCATGGGTACGAACTGCCAATAAAAGTTATGCGAATTAGAGCACGACAATGTCTCGGCTAACTCATTGAAATTCCCATGGCAAACAAACAACTGTCAAAAGGCAGTCGAGCGAGTGACAGACAAACGGCAACCCTGGCAACCCTGGCAGCCCAAGCAGCCCGTCGCAGCCTCGCCTCTATAATATATGCATGCATTTTACATATGACAGCCACAAACTCCATTCGCTAACTGTCACACATCCACACGCTCCTCTGTGGCCTGCCTCCTTTTCCGTTTTTGTTACAGCATCATTTCGGTTAAGGCCAAATCCTTTGCGGACCGTGAGATACGCTATACGCTGAAGGCGCAGGGACAGGGCGCCGGCACCTTTAACATTGGACCCTCATCGGGCATTGTCAAGCTGGCAAAGGAGCTGGACTTTGAGGACCTGCGACAGCCGCATGTCTATACACTGATTGTGACAGCCACCGAGGATTCCGGCGGCTTCTCCACATCCGTTGAGGTAATGTTACAAAGATAAAATGAACAAATAAGAAAGCGTAGTAGTTGGCAGTATCCGGCTAGGAGATACCCTAAACCCTGCTCCATCTGAGCCATCTTAACAAGCATTTTAGCTACCTTTTGTATTTTAATATATTGCTAAAATCGGTGCTTTGAGTCCGACTGTTTGTGTGTTTATACCAATTCAGAGTGTGTGTTTATACCAATTCAGGGAAATAGGCCGGAGTTATCCGAGAAGTGAAGTACTGAAAATTTCTATATACAAATACGACAACCTATAGCAAGTTTGGTTTATCTTATTCTTCGACTCTTATGTTATTCTTGTGGTAAGCAAGAGAATGTATATTTCAAATTAGAAGTCTCCAACTCTTGCGCTTATATAGACGAACAGACAGACTATACTGACTGGGTTTTTATCTCGTTCTCTGTCCAAAAATATTTATATTTGATGCCGTCAGAGATGCTTTCTTTGTCTGTTACATAAATTACCAATAACAAAATAAACAACATACTATTTTCACCCATCAAGAAAAAAAAATATAAAAATATATCCTTCAACTGCAGCTCACCATACGCGTCACGGATGTCAATGACAATGCGCCCAAGTTTGAGCTGCCCGATTATCAGGCGCACAATGTGGACGAGGATATACCGCTGGGCACTAGCATATTGCGCGTTAAGGCCATGGATGCCGATTCGGGCGCCAATGCTGAGATTGAGTATCTTGTCTCGGATGATCATTTCGCTGTCGACTCCAATGGCATCATTGTGAACAACAAGCAGCTCGATGCGGACAACAACAATGCCTACTATGAGTTTATTGTCACCGCCAAGGATAAGGGTGAGCCGGCCAAGTCGGGCACCGCAACCGTGCGTGTCTATACCAAGAACAAGAACGACGAGGAGCCCAAGTTCTCACAACAGGTCTACACGCCCAATGTGGACGAGAATGCCGGTCCGAATACTTTGGTAACCACTGTGGTCGCCTCCGACAAGGATGGCGATAATGTGCGCTTCGGTTTCGTTGGCGGCGGCACCTCCTCCGGCCAGTTTGTCATCGAGGACATCACAGGTGTCATACGGCTGCATAACAAGGCCATTTCACTGGATCGCGACAAGTACGAGCTGAATGTGACCGCCATGGATGATGGTTCCTGTTGTGTCAACGGCGATCAGACCATACACACCTCAACGGCTGTCGTTGTCGTCTTTATCACCGATGTCAATGACAATAAGCCGGTGTTTAAGGATTGCGGCACCTACTATCCCAAGGTGGAGGAGGGTGCACCCAATGGCAGTCCAGTTATTAAGGTTGTGGCCACCGATGAGGACAAGGGCGTCAATGGACAGGTAAGCGTGCAGCTTGAAACTCAATATTTATGAAATATATTTGCCCAAAATCGACATTATTGCTGCGATAGCTTATAATATAGAAAGTCGCAATAAATCGGTGTTATCGATAGCAAAGCAGTATTTGCATTTTTCGATTACACAATAAGTCGTTAATTGTAATGAACGATAGTTTCTCAACGCATACGATTGTGTTTTGCAGCATTTTGATATTTTGATAATACACTCAATAAATAGAATAATCGTTTAGTGTACCTAGAGAATGTTGCGTGTTTTAGAAGTGAAACGTCTGCAGCACTGACAATATCAATCGCTTTCCAACACTAGACGATATTCGATAGTGTCGATAATAAGCACTAACGCATAATCATTCCCATAATTTATAGTCGAAAATAGCCTTTTAGAGCTGGAAAACTTCAAAGCTTAAATAACCGATAGTCGCCATCGAAAGTTTCACTTGAAAACGTACAAAATACAAAGCAAAAATGTAGAACAACAATATTATCATAACATATATACACAAAATATAATTTAAATATTTAAAAGTAATTTCGTCCTTTAGCAATTTATAGTGCTTGAATACCCCCAATAGTTTTTGTTTGGCCAAAAGTGGTGCATTTTTTTTAAAGCAGCAATTATGATTGCCTGCTCTTAATTAGAGGTTTGTGACTTTTGGGCCATTCACCAGCACGTTTATGCCAAATAGTATTAGTGGCGCGAGTGCGAGAGATTTCGTGTCAAGATTTTGAACAGAGTTGCCACGCTCAAGTTCAATGCACTTAAAAAAGCCAGGCAAGCGATGTTGCATGTCGTGCGCCGGTGTGGCAACGCCTCACAGAGGCTATAATCACAATTGTGTCAATCATTAAGTAATTTTGCATGTTCTTTGTCGCCCGTCAGGTTAAATACTCGATTGTACAGCAACCGAATCAGAAGGGCACCAAATTCACAGTGGACGAGGAAACTGGTGAAGTGTCCACCAACAAAGTGTTCGATCGTGAGGGCGACGATGGTAAATTCGTCTCCGTGACGGTAAAGGCAACTGATCAGGGTGATCCCAGCCTGGAGGGTGTCTGCTCTTTTACCGTGGAGATAACCGATGTAAATGATAATCCGCCACTATTCGATCGTCAGGTGAGCTACCCTAGCTGAAAGCTCAATTGTAGATTGTAGATTTAATGTTTGTTCCACTCCCTTGCAGAAATATGTGGAGAATGTTAAACAGGATGCCAGCATTGGCACCAACATACTGCGCGTCTCGGCCTCCGATGAGGATGCGGACAATAATGGCGCCATTGTTTATAGCCTGAGCGCGCCCTTCAACCCCAACGATCTGGAATATTTCGATATACAAGCCGAATCTGGTTGGATAGTGCTCAAGAAGCCGCTTGACGTAAGTGTTTGTTTTCCCATTCTAACATGTTCTTGCATTTGTTACCATTTCTTAAGTTTGCGAACCCAATTAACCAAGTTTTATGTTTGTACTTACAAAAGAGAAAACAAAACAATATGAAAAGAAAATTGAAAATATTTTCATTTCCTTTACTAACTAACAATCCAAAACTGAAGCGCTTAGCGCTGCCAGAGTTTCATAAAGTCAGAGTTATCGCGGCCTGCTAGCTAGCAGAAATTTAAGCATTCAGTTCTAATTATTATTTCAACTGCACCTTTCTTTTGTTTAAGAGACTTTGTGCAAAGCCCTTCCGCAAAATTTTTAGGACGGCTATCAATTGATTTTTTCCTTTTTTTATTGATAGCCCAAAACGAATTCGATGTGAAAAGCAGTGCAAGTTTTTTTGTCACATTCGAAATGAAGAGAGAGATACTAAAATATCACGCAAACTACATATAAGAAATGCCATATATGCCATATATATAAGCGCTTTTGTGTACTATTTTTAGTTAGTTTTCTATTATTTGTACTTTTTTTTTTGTTTAGTTTATAGTGCGTAATTGGCCCAAAAATGAAAACTTGCAAATAAGTAAAAATGCCAAGCGAATTGATTTTTAACATTTTTTGAAACAAATCAACAAAAACACAACGAAAATACACAAGGTATTATAATGGGTACGCCGGGTAAATTTAGTTGGACAAAATGGAGCATTATGTAAAAAAAAGCTTTTAACTGCCAGCTGCTGCTTTTATTTTTGTGGTGTTAGGTTTCTAGGCTTAAGCAAATGTAAAAAAAAAAAAACAAATAATACACAGGTTTTATAAACTAGCCCCTTACAAAAACGATCACGCCTATTTTTGAGCATCGTTGTGCAATTTTTGATGGCTAAAAAAAAGAAAATCTTTTAAAAACAAATCATAAAACTACATAACAATTTTTTCAAATGTAGCTTGATTTTGTATGCCAACTTTTTTTTTTTTACTCTACTTTTTGCTAACCCTACAAAATCCCAACAACAAACCCAAATCCATATAAATATAAAAAAAAACCTACATTTTTGTCGAGACTATGCGAATTTTTGAAGGTCTCTTGCTGACAGCTGCAAATATATTTGAATTTTTTGATTTTAGCTAATCATTTTTAATAATCATATTCATGAAAAATGTAAACATTTTGTTGTGCGCATTTTCGCATGCCCATGGAAAATGCGTGTGCAACTTTCATATTTTTTTTTTTTCTGATATAATTAAACATCAAAACATCTATATGATAGCAGGCGACGTTAATTTAATATATAATTTAACTGCACCTTTTAAAATGTTTTATTTGTATAATTTTAAAATTATGTGCGAGTTCAGCTAATTGAGGCGAGTTAATGTTTCTGTTTCTTTTTAATTTCCTATTTACATATGAAATGGTGTTATCGATACTGTTATCGATACTGTTGTCAACAATTTAGGGTTGTTATCCTGTAAGTAATCGAATCTTTCTAAAATACATAAATCTAAATGAAGTGTCTGTTATAATTTGCTGTTATACTGTGCTAACCCGGCAACAAATCGATTTGCTCACCAATTTGTAAGCTAACCTCAAAATGAAACTAACTTTCTGTGCTCGCACAGATACTGAATACTTCATGTTGTACATAATCATTATATATCTGGTTTTAGCTGGCATCTTTCAAGGGAACTCCAAACAAGTACTAAAATAAAATCTGTCTAGTCCTTTTAGTGAGCAATTCTTCAACGTACATTTTCCAACACACTTCATCAGATTGTTCTCAGTTTCTCTTAACCAAAGCAAGAGATAGTCTCGTCAAAATATGCAAAATATAAATTTAAATAAAATCCCATACCAATTAAACTAATTTAAATATGTTTGTCTTAAATCTCCCAAGTAAAGCCCGCCTGTACGTTACATATCCTTGCTTATCCCTTGTAAAAGCTTTATTTTAATTCCTTCCAAAACATTTACTTGATTTCTAAGTATTGATTTTTCATTTTCATTTCACTTATAATTTATATATATTTATAATGAAATACTAAATTTCAAACATAAACTGTTAATCTGTAACGACAACGATGCCATTCAAATACGTAATCGTAACGTAATATGCACACAACGTTAACCCGATACACAAACCAAATACGACCCACACTAACAAACAACGCGTTTTTAACATATCGGCTAACATTTGGCTGTTGACTCTATATCACTGCTACATATCACATATTCAATCAATGAATCAATCAAAACTCAATCGATCAATCAACAGCGCGATCGTTATCGCCTGCGCGTGCGCGCCTCAGATCGTGGCGACCCGCCCTCATATGCCGATGTCGATGTTGAGTTAGATGTCGTCGATCGCAATAATAAGCCGCCCATTTGGGATAAGAGCATTTATGGGCCGATCCATATTCGCGAGAATGTAACTGTGGGTACGGTTGTAACATCGGTTAAGGCAAGGTTTGTATAGCCAATACACTACACTACACTACACAACAAACAAAAACTAAGTACTACCTCAGTTAACTCATACATACTAAGTAAATGAAGCAAGTTGAAGTTTCTAACAACAACAAAGCCTAACAGCTGTGAGCTTAACATAGTTAGTTATTCTTCTTCTTTTTTTTTTTTTTTGAAATGTAACAGCATTTTGGCTAACATAGGCATAAGCTTCCGAGTTTGAATTCGTTTCATCGAGTTGCATTCGTTTGAGTAAGATTTTTACATACATAACATTAACATTGCTATGTTATAGCTAACAGTGGCAAACTGTGTCTTGGCTAAATGTGCTCAACGAACGAAATGTACTCGCTTAACGAAACTTCGCTCACTTAACGAACATAGCTTTAAGCTTGCCAGTACAAGTATATTTAACATACGGTCTCTTTCTGTTACTGTCTCTCGTCTAACATAACGTTTACATTTTTAACTAAAATTTTACGATACAATATTTTTGTGGTCTATCGTAAAAGCTCAACATTTTTTTTCAACCATCAACAATGTCAAACAAAAAAAAATTCAAATTATTTGACACATTCGAAAAAATGTCTAAAAAAAATGTCTTTAAATTGTGATAAACAAATTTCTAATGCTGTTGTTGGTGTTTGTTTTGAGCAAACTTTTTGTATGCCAACCTAATAAAGACGGTTGTCGGGTACTTTTGCATTTTGCTGCAACTCTCACCCACCTTACACATTACCCATTGGAATCGCTTACCCAATACTCTGACTTCTCTCCCCCCTCTCAGTCAACAAACCCAAAAACACACGGTAAAATGCTTGAAATAACTGTGAAGTCTCGTTGCCACAAAATTCGGTGTTGGTTTTAATTGGGAAATTGAGTATCTAATTAAAAATGTATTTTATACACGGTTGCAGTTTTAGTTTAAGAACTAGGAAACAACAAGGTAAATACGCAATATAACTGAAAACATATTTATATATATATATTCACAAAGTGTTCAAAAATGTTAAAAAGCAATAGTCGAAAAAGAACAAATTAAATAAAAACATATTCAAAAAAAAAAAAATAAAATAAAAAGTATGCTATAAAAATTGTACTACTCGAAATGCACAAAGCCCTTTTTAAGTTTCATTTGTTATGCATTTAGTTTCTATCATATCTGAAATACTATATAAATAACAATTATATATTTGTATCTATGCTCAAGCCAATTATTTATAATATGTATGCGATTTTCAGTTACTGTCCAGAACAGCAACAACATTTTTGTTTGTTTACATTTTGAAGGCTAGGGTCGAGACTTTATTTCATAAAAATAGAAATAAACTAGAAAAAATAATTTGCACTGCGAGAAAAAACAATACCTTTTAAAAAACAAGGCATAAACAGATACAAAGAAACCTTTACAGTTTCTAAAATTTTGATTTTTAAGTTTTAATGCTGGCTGTATACTTCCACATAAATAAGGTGTTGGTTACGTGTATTCAAACTTTTGATTTTTCGAAAAAAAAAACCTGTTGCTTCATTTTGTTTTCCAACAACTAAAAACTGAGTTTTTTTTTTAAAACTAAAATTTTTTTTGTATTTTGCATTTTTTCCTAAACTTTAACGACGCGTCTGTCTTTTTGCCAATGCTCGCTTGATTTTGAAACGTGCTTGTCTTTTTTGAATAAACAAAAACCAAAAATGAATATGTATTCAAAATACAGCGCGAGACATACAAATTAGAGGCGATGGCCCAAGACAAGGGCTATCCGCCATTATCGCGTACGGTCGAAGTACAGATCGATGTGGTCGATCGTGCCAACAATCCGCCCGTTTGGGACCATACCGTTTATGGGCCGATCTATGTCAAGGAAAATATGCCCGTTGGCGGCAAAGTCGTCTCGATCAAAGCCAGGTCTGTTAGTGCAATGTTTTACAAAACAAACAAAATCAAAAATAAAAATTCACTATAAGAAAATTGCCATACCATTTTGCTTAGTTACTTTTGATAAGCTACATTAATATTTACATATTTTCCTAGGTGTTCAGTTTTAGTTCTTGTAAACAAATCAAATCAAAAAAAAAAAAAAAAAAAATCAATCATTTTCATTGTCATTTTTCGGTTTTTGGTGTTGTTTCACGTAGTTGTCAATATTTTTTTACGTGTGTTCTGAATGTTGTTCTAGATATTTAGTCTAATCTCTTAGGCAAATCTCTAAGAGTGCTCTTGAGAGTGTGAAAATCAATTGAATTGAATATTAATCTATTTCAATTAAATTTCATTTTCGTACTCTCAACGAGTCATAGTTCCCCTTGTCATCCCTATCATCCCATCACTCTATATGCTGCACTCAAACCACAAGCACCAGTAAACACATTCCCCAAACTTAGAAATCCGCACAAATCACACGAAATGCACAATTTTTTATTTTTGTATAGACTGAGTACAAAACCAAGTTTTAACTCCTCAAAAGCTGTATATTAATCGATATGAACGTATGAATAATCACATTATTATAAGCATAAGAAGCTTGGGGGTTAATAACTAATATGTAGCGAGTATTTCATGTAAATAAACCGTTGGCGCTCAACGTGTGCTAAGTTAAGTTTAGTTTAATGAAATGCAATTCCCGCTGCTTGATGACCTTTGCTGATAAGCTGACGATTCCAATTTAAATTGGGGTCAAATGTTGCAGCGACTAGCAAGTATTTTATGTTAATACAGTTGCTGGCGCCCAACGTGGGTGGCCACAATTGCCACTACTTGATGACCTTCACTGTTGATGAGCCGCCAGCTGCATTTTAAATTACCTGGCCAAAACCACTTTGACCCATGCCCAGTCCATATACAAGTACTTTTCATATTATGCAATGATCATAGACCTGAGAGATGGCCAGGGCTTCCGAATGTAAAGTTTATTTAAATAAAGTTTTGTTTTTCATAATTGCAATTAAGAACTTGAAGTAGCGCACTTAAATGACTTTTGGCTTGCAGTACGCTTCTTCGCCTGTTCTCTCTCCCTCTCATCTCTCTCTCTCTCTCTTTCTCCCTCTCTCTCTCAGGGCAGCATTAACATAACGAATAGAGTTGTATCTTCGTGGCAAGCCAACCACATGGCTCTGACGTTTTAATTATGCGTCAGTTTGTGGCCAGTGGCAGTCAGTACTTTTTCCCTAGTCCCCATTTTCCTTTCTTTTATTTTTTATTACTTGTTTAATTTTTTTTTATTGTTAGCACTAAAAGCAATGCACTTAAAGCGTTCTTAACCCAAACGCGCTGCTGCCGCATATTGCACATACGCACCGTAGCGCAGCGACCACAAATTATTGCACCAACTGCATCCACCTTGCTACAGTTAGTTTAGTGCTCTCTAAGTAAATTTCATTTATATGCTAAGTATTTAGGAAATTGCCAACTATTAAACGTGCTTGGGCTTACGTTACGACGTTTCGGTTTTCTTACGTTACGCTGAGCTCGTGTAAAATACGTTTTTTTATTTTCTTACTTTTCTGTTTGTTATTACTTTACTTGTTTTACTTGTGTTTCGTTTTATTCCTTTTTGCAATTATCTTGTCCCAGCACAAAATTGTCAACTTTTTATATTACTCCATATATATATATATATATAAAATAGATATATATTTGTGTGTGCGTGTGCGAGTGTTTGTATAGCCAAGATGCTATTAAGCAAGCCGTCTGCCAGAGGAAGCTGCGTGCAGGCGGAACAACATGGGCTGCGTTTTCATGTGCGCGTATCTCATAATAAATGTGTTTGTTGTCGTTGTTTGTCATTGTTGTTGGTATTGCTGTTGTTGCGCTTAATGCGCACACTGTCAAGTGTTTGCCGAGTGTAACATGCATTTAAGCAGGCAACAAGAACAAGAACAACAACAACCACAACAACAGCGATGCGCGTTAAGGTAAAAAACTAGGGTCACACTTAACAGCAGAACTTAACGATAAATGTTAGCCGCATAGAAGCTGTAGTCTAAAGTGTTATACTGCTTATTGAGTGTATAAATATACTCTGTTCAGTAAGTAAAAATGAATATATTGGCTTTGTGAAAATGTTTGATCAGTCCGCTTTTTTAACTTTATTTAAGCTGTCTTGGATAATATGTTAGAATAATACTCTGTTCAGTAAGTAAACGGGAGTATATTGGCTTTGTGAAAATGTTCGATCAGTCCGCTTTTTAGACTCTATTTAACCTGTTTTAGATAATATTTTAGGATTTTTTTGCCATGCCTACCAGGCATATACATATACCTGTATGTACACTAAATCTTCCACAGTTTTAGATCTACTCATTAGCTTAGAACGTCGACTACTAATGATCTCCAAAGATTGTTTCCTCTCAAATTTAAGCCCAACAGTACACAAATCTTTATTTCCCTATGACACAGTTGAAAAGCCTTTGTCTTGGGCTTACAGTTTTGCAGTACAAAGTTGTTTCGATCTATATGAAGGTTTTATCACACTGTGAACTGAGTATTGCGCTATCGGACTGATTCGATTGCAAGGTTTCTACTTTTTTTGCCTTAAGTTTACTTTCCATTTGACGTTATATGTATTCTATATTTTAGCAACTAGCCTTGAATTACTATATATAGATAGTCATAGCAATTAGGCGTTAACTGCAAACCAGGCGTATTATTCTCGTTAAATTAAAAACCCAAGTGCTCAGAAAACCAATTCAATAAATACACAAAATACACTGAAAATGTTTCCACAAAATTAGTTTTGATTTTGCAATACAAACGAACGATACCAATATATACACATATATATATATAAATATATATAATACACAAAAGAACACTCACAGCGAAAACGAAGGAAAACATTTCATGCAATTCACAAATTATTCCCAACCAAAAGCAAATCCCGAACCGAACCAAAGAAAAAAACACCTCACCCCATTTTTTTGCTACCGATTTTTTGCCATATATATCCGCCTTGTCCTTTCCACATCATATTTATTTTTGGCGCTCGCCCTTGGCAGCAACAATTTTGCGCAGTCTGACAGATTTCTTGCAATTTTTTAGGGCAGCCTCCAAAGTTTTTCTTTGCTTTTCCGTGTGTATTTTTTTTTTACTTCCATTTTGGTCGCTTTTCTGTCAGCTGCAAGTGTTGTCCAAGTGCAAATAAAATTTATTTTTTGTTTGTTTGCTTCTTTAGCCTAATTTGTTTTTCATTATCTGCGCCTCGCCCACTGTACACAAAAAGCAAACAATCATCTGCCGGCCGTGTATACTTCCCCCAAAATCCATACCTCCACACACCCCGCCCACCTCTCCTCGCCAGAGCTAACCAGTCTAGAATTCAGTCCAACAACTTTTTGACACTCGAATGGCAATTAAATGTTTTGAAGCCATTTTTTTTTTTGTCGCCGTCTTTTCTTTTTCTCTTCTGTTGCGTTTCCGTTTCGAGCTGAGAGTTTTTCTTGGCTCTTCCTGTTATTTCTTTTGGTTTATATTTGCACGAAAGACGCTCGCAAAAAGGAAATTCTCCAATTTGAGGCGCAATACTTTGCTTTTTTTTTGTGTGAAGCAATCGAAAGTCTTGAAAATACATTTTTGCTTTTTTTTTGTGTCATAAATCAAATTTTTGTATTTTGATATGTCGCATGCGTGTGCGCGAGTGAGTGTGTATGAGTGCGTGTGTGTGTGTGCGTGTCACTCACATATCTTGTAAACTTCATTTAGCTTCTACAACTTACTGTTAATTTTTGCAAGAGCATTTCAAGAATTCTACAAATTCTTGATGCTTCTCAATACATATTTTATGATCATCTAACTAAATACTTTATAGTTTGTTTTTTGAAAAAGTTTAAAGTATTTCAAAATCTGTAACATATACTCATAATTTCTATAAATAACCCATGTCATGTAGTTGAACTCTTTCTACACTAACAACTATCTCTATAAATGAATGCCAACCAAAGCCATTACTAATATATACTTAATAATTTTTTCACCTGCCGCCAACGTCTGCAGTTCGGGCATTGAGGGCAATCCGACGGTTTTCTATAGATTAATGCCTGGGTCAACGGCACAGACGAACAAGTTTCATACGTTCTATCTGCAACAGAGACCGGACAATGGTGACACCTGGGCCGATATAAAGGTCAATCATCCGCTGGACTATGAGAGCATCAAGGAATACAATTTAACCATACGTGTGGAGGTAAGTGTGAACAGTTTTCAATTAAAACTTGTAAATCGTTTGCCTAAACAAATCCAAAAAAAAATAAATAAAATAACTTAGGAAAATAGCGGAAAAGCCAAAAAATCTACAAAGTTGTTCAAGTTTTCAAGTTGTGCTGCGCTCAATTAAGCGCTCAGCTTGAGCTGATGGCGGCGCGTGTGTTTGACTTTTGCATTTGAAAATGTCTTCGAAATACGTTTGTAATTATTTTATTTGAAAAGTTTTAATTACTTGCGCGACTTTGAGGCCACCTCGCCCTCGCCCGTGTCCGTGCCCGTGTCTAGCCCCTCGCTTCACAGCATGCAAATGCAGAGCGCCTGCTAAGCAATTTGACTGTGAACAGAGTTCAGCTTGATTTAGTTCTGTCATGTGGCAATCGAGCAGCTGATTGACTGGCTGTCAGTTCGTTGCGTTTCTCAATTGAATTTCAAGCAGTGCCCAAGTTTTAGCTCAAGCTCTCTCTATCTGCAGTGCAGCTCATTAGTGCGACCATTCAGCTATGCTAAAATTATTGACAAACTGTTGCAGCTGCTCGATAAATTAAACATGACCAGAACTGGCGAGGCGCTGCAGCAACAAATGCCACAAATGATGTGCCCGTTGCCCCCAAAGGCCAAGCACACAAATACATTTGTTATTGTTGTGTGTGTGTGTGTGTGTGTGTGTGTTTGCTATTAAAATGCAATTGCATTCACATTTAATGCAGCTAATTAAATATCCCTCGACATTTCATTAGTATTTTCTTTTTTTCCCACATAGCAAATCTAATGCACAACACAGCGCTGATTGTTGTTGTCCTTTTTTGTTGCCGCAGCACAAATGTCAACGAAATATTCATATTAATTTTTAAAAGAGTTTTGCGGTCACTGCCCATGTATAAATAAATTCAAAATAATATCAAATGTTAATTAAAAAATTTATAACATTTTTTAAAAATGTTTTGCGGTTAACTACAAATGTTTGTCGTGGCTTCGAAAGGCATTTAAAATATATATTAAATATTTGAACTAAAAATGTAGAGTATATGTGCTTATTGAATGTTTCAAATTAAATGTTGCAAGTTGAGCGAGTTTACATAAATACACATCGGCCTGTTATTCGTTATGTTAACAGACTTCATGTTAGCAAGCGTCATGTTAATAGGCGTCATGTTAACAGTCATCGAGAAATTCACGTGTTGTTGCCACTCAACCATGAAAAATCGTTTCATGTTACCCAACACTTGTACACTCACAGCTAAGCTTACAATTTATGAAATGAAAATCACTTGTGTTGCAAATTTAGTTAAATTCGATATATAGTTTCTAACAGTGCCTGTTATATATCATTGCCCATATACTTGTTTGTGCGGCAAGTTTGAAGCATCACGCTCAATTGATATTCGAGATTTGTGTATTTATGCAAATCCCTCAGCAAATAGTTCGATTGCCTAATCGAAACGTTGTCAAATTTTGCTGCTGCCTGCAGACTCTAATTAACTAGCAAACTAGCAAATACATATTTACCCAATAACAAGATGGCAAAAATAAATAATTCATTTTGGAATTAGCTCTGCTCTCACTTTCTGCCACATCTCTCTTTGTCTCCCTTGCACTCGCGCATCGCCCTGTGATTGGGTTTTATGTGCTGTCATTCACTGTAAACAAATGTTTCACATATAGACATATCTTTGATTAATATACAAAATACAAGCAAATAAACATGATTATTACTACAGGCATTGAGGGCTTGGTTATTCCCTTGGGCCGACTGCGGTTCATTGGCAAATACAATGAAAATTGTGGATAACACAGCAATTGGCTTCATTGCGAGAGGAGGCTAATCAATTGCATAATAAGGCAAACGATGTGTTGATTGATAGCTTTTCCTCAATCAATCAATTCTCTGTTTAACATGATCAAAAAGTTACCACATTAAAATAACTTTAGGAGCAAGCCGAAAAAAAAAAATGATTTAAAGAAATTCAAATAAAAAAGTGTTTAAAATTAATGACATTAAATATTTTACTGCTTTGCTGACAGAATTCCGGCGTGAGAATTTCCTTTTTATTACATGCAAATGCATATTTTTTTTTTTTGCCATCGCAATCGTTGCTTGGCATATTTAAATAAAAATGTGTTCAATTATTTCATTTGTGAATCAAGAATAAAAATATTTGTACATATTGCGTACGTATATTATGAACTAATTAAAAGTGTGGACATGTGGACAAAATTTAAATTACATTTTTAAATATTTGAAGTGGCAGAATTTACAATTTTCGCTTTTTTGCATTTTTCTTTCTTCTTCTTTTTTGCAACATTACAGAACAACGGCGCCCAGCAATTGGCATCGGAAGCGACCGTTTACATAATGCTCGAGGATGTTAATGACGAAATACCGTTATTCACCGAACGCGAACAGGAAACGGTGCTGGAGGGCGAACCGATTGGCACCAAAGTGACACAAGTGAATGCCATTGACAAGGATGGCACATTCCCAAATAATCAGGTGAGCAATGCCGAGCGCGAATAAATTGAGTGAAGGTAGCGCATCCTTTTACCCTGCCAGATACGATGATGAGGGCTGTGGCACGTAGCGAGTTAAGCAACGCCAGCTGCGGAAGTGCCAGCCGATTGTTGGCAAATGAATGACTGGGTGAAGCATGAAGCGAGCGACACAAAAAAGCGACACAGAGAAGGGTTTGCCAATGTGGATGGGGCCAAAGTTTAAAGCGTCATTTGCTTAATGTGCTGTAAAACGCTTGAATTTCTAGTGCCTTAACAGTTAAGCATGTTAAGTACACGTTAACATTACATTACTTTCAGTGTTTTCTTTATCCAAGCCAAGTTATCTTTATCTTTAGCCAAGTTAGACTTAACACAGTTCCTTAGCAGTTGACCATGTTATGTAAATGTTAACATAACATTATTTAATGCAATTCATTAACAGTCGGTAATGTTAAGTGCATGTAAACATTACAGGGTGTTAACTGTTAACAATATGCGAGTGTTTTAAATGGCCTAGTTGGATTTAACAGAAAATGCTCTGGCCACTGAATTTGAAGAGCAAAACTTAACATACAAATCTTTAAAAGAAACAAAAGTTCTGCTTTAAATCAAAAATCTGCAGTCTAACCGCAAGAATTTAATAATGTTTCACTTCTTTGGAGCAGTACGCCTTTTTTTTAATTGTATTTGGTTTTTTTTTTAATTTTTTTTTTTTGCCGCTTCCGTCGCCTTTGGCTCATCTGGCAGCTGAGCTTATAAATGTCAAAGAGTTGCCACTCTTTTTTTGTGCTGCAGTATTTTCACATGCTCTTAAGTACACTAAGCCCTTAGTGAAAGTTCAAAGCGTGTAGCACAAGGCAAAAAAAAGTCAAGAAAATAAAAAAAAAACCGAGAACTAAGAAGATAAAAAAGAGGAAGACAAAAAGCGACCCACAGTCTGTGCCTTGCTTTATGCGTCTGACAGCAGACCTTGAGGGCAGGACGTGAAAGGGACACCAAGGCCCGAAGCTATACTCGCGATTATAATAATATGGTACTTGCCTGACTGGTAAATGGTAAATGGTAATGGGTAATGGGTAATGGGTAACTGGTAAATAGTAACTGGTAACTGGTAACTGCTAACTGGCCATGGCGATGTTGGCTATTCTCTTGGCCACATTTCGTGTCCTGCAGCCAAGTAATTTGCATGTACGCGCAAAATGTCCGCACTAATTAGCGTTTTTCATTTATAGCCGCAGCTATACAGGCACGACGAATTTGTTGCAAGACGGGGCGTCTGATTATCATTAACATCATCATCATCATTATCATTAGCAGCAGCTAGCGCCCCTTTAATATGCCTGACAGTATTTAAAAGCTGCGCAGTTTTCGCTTGATTTAAATTCTTGGCAATTTCCTCTTTGAACTCGACATGTTTTAATTAACTTCCTGACAATTTTTGATTTGTCAACAAAATTGTATTATTTTTTTTTATTTTTTTTGTCTAACGTTTATGTGCTGCATGTACTTGCAGGTCTACTACTACATCGTCGACTCGCCACGTAACGAGGGCAAAGAATTTTTTGAAATTAATTTGCAAAGCGGCGAAATCTTCACCAAAACCGTGTTCGACAGGGAGAAGAAGGGCGCCTACGCCCTCGAGGTAGAGGCACGCGATGGTGCGCCCTCTGCGCGGCCGAACAGCAATGGACCCAATTCAGGTAAGTGCCCCAACAATTCCCTGTTCGTTTTCCACCAAATGCCGAACCTGTCGATTGGCGCTGGTGTTCGTCTATCGTTAAAATGTTCATTTAAGCTTTTATGTAAATTTTCGGGTACACTGAATGAAACTTTGACTTCGTTGGGCTAGAGAAATTTAAATACTTGTGTGTTTTTGTATTGAAACCGATTGTCAGCTGTGTTTAAAGTAACTGTAGCGATATCTAGAAATTTGATTAAGCTATTTCTCATATTTAGTTCCAGCGAAAGAGGGCCCGACTAGAATATGTTTATGTATTTATCCACATATGAATTATATGCCCTTTAATATATTGAAGCCAAGAGCTTTTAGCCAGCTGCTGTTGTTGCTAAACATACTGCTAGTCAACCGAAATTGGCAATAGGTTTTCTTCTCATTTTTCTTTTTTTTTTGTTTTTGTTTCTGTTGCTGACATTTTGGCTATTTGCATTTGAGCGCAGCGTGTTTGCAGCATCCCAAATCGAATATCTACGACAAATATTGACCACGTGGGCAACCCAAATAGGTCACAGGCTGTGGCTGGTGTGTGTGCCTGTGTGTGTGTGTGTGTGTGTGTGTGTGTGCGTGTGTGTATTTAGGCGAGTGCATTTTGGCTTTTATTGGACACGCAGTTGCCCACATTCGCGGGCTGCTGTTGGCAAATAAATTTGCATTTAACGAAAAACAGTTGCAAGCCAATATCATCAGCATCAGCAGCAGCAGCAGCAGCAGCCACAAAATGCGTTTTATTTGAAATTGTTCAGTTAATAGATATTGAGCGGTTCAGTGTTGAAAAACGACAGAGACACTTCAATTTGTTTATGAGCACTGCGAATATGGCCATAGCTTCTTCTTATCAACAAATAACACATTTCCATGCAATAAAAAGTAAATCATTTGAATATAATATTATTGATTTTTAATTAATAACACTTTGAAGCCAAAAAATGTTTGTCAAAAACTGAAGAAATCCAAGAAATAGTTTTTTTAAAAAATGTTCTAGCATTCACATAAGCGTAATAATTTTACACAAATTTTGCTGCAAAACTGTTTTCTGTTTGCTTGTGTTAATAAATTATGCGTGGAATTAATTAAATTTCAAGTTTAGTTTAAAGTTGAAAGTTTTTTCATGAAAATATTTTCTTTTATCATAGAATTTAAATTGCAACTGAAATATTTTCTTTACGGCGTATTTTCGTAAGGTTGTATTTTTTATTCAATTTATTATTTAAATTTTTATTCAATTTATTTATTATTTTTTTATTTCAGTTTATTACTTTGCCTTTTATTAAAAAAATTCTCTTTAAAATCCATATACAGCTTAGTTCCATAATGGTTTTATTTATGTACATAAAAACACAAAATGCTGCTTCTTTTTCTTTTAAGCATTCCAATTTGAGCCTGGTTATGGTCGAATATACTAAAAAACATTCAAGGGCCATCTGCTGGTTTTCTAATTTCGGGATGGAACTTAAAAAATATATAAAAATATATATAAACTAAAAAGCAGTTCCATTTAGCATGCGTTGTGCGCCTGTGACAAGTGTTTGCCGCTTAAAATTGTGCGCTAAAAATAAACAATTAGGCGCTGGTATAAATGGCATAACACACCCACACGCACACGCACACACACGCGCACACACACACATAGACAAACAGCAGTTTTCTCGTGTTTCATTTAGCTTTACTGATTTTTGGGCTCGTATTGTTGTTCGCGGTATTTGCTGTTCATTAAAAATTGCCCCTGAAATGGCAATCAATTTTCTGTGTGCTTTGCTATACTTTTTCCTCATTTTTTGTATATTTCTATTTTCTATACATTGGGTATATATGTATATATTTTTTTGCTCGTTTTGTGTTGTATTCCTTGTCTTTTTTTATGTCCTTGCCAAGTGCTTTTCGATTGTTTAATATGTCGCTGAGCCGCACATAAGCGCTGCTAAATGGAAACAAAAGCGAAAACGAGTGGGAAAAAAACGCGTAGCATACTTTTCCGCGCGCAACATTGAAAATGATGTGCAATCAACACGCGCCAAAGCCGGCAACGACGAGTCCACAGTCACAGGCTTTTGGCCATGAAAAGCGAGCACGAAAATTAAAAAGTTTTTCTGTTTTTCTGTTTGTTTGCGGCACTTTGTCGGCGAAGGGGCTCGGCGGTTGAGTGGTTGGCTGCATGTAAATTACAACAGTTGTCGGACTAACCGAAGCTTACAAATATTGATACATATATTCGCTCAAAAGCAACAAATACTTGTGCATTGTGTGTGTACTGACTCTGAGAGGCTAGCAGGTGGGGGCGGAGGCGTGGCAACAGCTTGCGGTCCGCCAATTTTGTAGCAGCCGTATCGAAAGGCACGTAAGCTGTTCGCCGTTTCTCATAAGCTAGTTATAAACAGTTGTTAAATGCTTGGAGTGTGTGCCATGAAATTCGAGCGGCAGATAGCCAGGAATTATGATAGCATTTTATCTTTGCAAATTAACTGAAATTTGTTAAAGAAACGATCTGAAGAAGCAGCTATAAATATAAAGGCCTTTCGAATTTCGAGTCTTAAGATTGAGAGGATTTTACTCCTAATTCCAAATTTGATTTGATTAAATTAAATTTAATATAATTTATATTGATGCATACTTTTTCTGATTTTGTTTCTTGATTGATGAGAATAGTCAACACTTTAAACTGATTTTTTCTATTTGTCTGCTTTCGTTCTTGTTCTATCTTTTTGCCATGCTTTGACTGCATTTGTTAGCTATTTTCTCATTTCTCGTCCCTCGCCCCCTCGACCCATCACTCTCACTCGGTCTCTCTTCATTTGATTGCGTTCCGATTGTGTCCTTGCTGTGGGTCTTCCCTACGCTTGCATTTGCTCACAATGCGACTTTGTTTGCCTTTGCAATTGTTTGGCTTTGGGTTGGCTTGTCAAGTATTTTAGAATGGGTATCAAATACGGTTTCATTGCAATGCTCAAAGGTTCGATACCTGGACACAACAGAGTTGAATCGTTTCGCTCTTCTGTTTGCCAAAGTTCCATCTGTATCACAAGTCAAATCGCAGGCTAGCCAAAATTATTTGGCTTAATAACAAGAAGACTTTTTGTATCTGTTTATCTGTAACTTACAGCCACAAATACAGCTATCAATGGCTTGTTTAGACTTTGTTATCTGCTCTACGTGCCCTTTTTTTATTTATGCATACCTTTAGGCTTAACGCCGCCGCACGTTCCACATTTCACAGCAGACTTCACCCATGCGGCCTCTGTCTGCCCTCGGGCATAATAACAACAACAATGAACATGAGTGGGCGTTGAGTGTGGAGGAGAGGCAGAAACAAACATGACAAATGGCAGAAATTTGGAATTTTTAAGTTGTGGCGATTGAGCGATTGTGTCTGCGTCTGGTTCTGGCAACCCTGCGGCTGTCGGGCAGCCAATTCTTCAGTTCTGATTCACCTGTCAGCAAGCACAGGGTAAACGACAATAAATGTGCATAAATTATCGCTAGACGCATATATGTATGCAATATATGTTTGCTTTTTGCTGTCAGAGAAATATGAGCTACACAACATTCAATGTAAGAGTTATTTTAAAGACATATTTGCAAGAGTTTTTTTTTTGTTCCGAATTCAGAAGATGTATACATAAACAAATTTATTGCTGCCAGAAAAATGTTAATATACTTAAAAATAATTCAAGGAATTTGCTGCAAATCCTACGAAAACAAATAAACTCTTTATCATCATTTTGTACATGTATTTTTAATTATGCATTTGATTATGGACTTAGGGTGAAAGTAAAATTCAGAGCATATAAAAGAATATATTATACTATTACCGCAAAACTGTTAAAAATCGTAGAATTCAATGAGCGCTTTCTTGGGACTACAAAAAATATGTTTAAAATATATTTCAATTGAAACCTTCACATTCGTTTGGGAATATTATAAATATTTTTGCAACTAGCTTGTTACACCACGATGTTGGGCAACTAAATATATTCCAATAAAGACGAATTGATCGAAAAATTGAGCTACTGCTAAATGCAAATGAAAGCTCTTTAGCTCAACTGGGGGGCTGGCCATCAAAATTGGTTCTCATAAAAATCGCATTATATAAAAATAAGCAAAATTTGCATGAGACACTTGACTGAAAATGCCTAACAACAACAACAACAACAACGACAACAACAACAATGGTAAACAATGCACAATTGTTGTTACACACATCATAAATTTCAAGCAGAATATCTGGAACCTTAACGAGCCCCAGCCAATGCCAAAGGGCAAACCAAAACTAAACTCTTTCGCATTTGGCCAAGAAGTTGTTATTAGGCATTGTTGTTGTGTTGGCTGTTGGCTGTTGGCCTTTTCGGGGCATCAAATGTTTCGTATAGAAGTTTCTCTAATTTCTGGGGCGGAAATAAGTGCTCGTAAAAAATGTTGGGGCTCGTAAAAATTGCCTGGCTGGCCAAACTCATAGATGTATATACATATTTATACATATATACCAACAATAACGCATAAGCCGCGTTGTACGGCAACAAACAAAAGCCATAACCAATTTCAGCCATGCTCTTAACGGTCTCCCCCTCTCCATCTCACTAGCGCTCTCTCTAGCTCGCCCTCTCTCTAATATCACATTTCGATATCCGATAATGTTTTCATGTGCCTCAAGCACATTCCGTTTATTGCCACAACCCCGCGACACTTGGCCTTTTTGGTTACTTTTGGCATTTGCAAATAGTTTTCTGGGTTTGGCTTTAAACTCTGCCATTCTCAGGTCTTAAATGTTTTTTCGATTGCATTCGGCCTTGCTTTTTAGAGGTCGTAAATTTCGTGTCATCAGTCATTGGACTCTTTGGGGTCATTTGTCTGGCTAGAAAGGACGATGCATGCCGCAAGCAGTTCATCATTTATGATCGATGCTGCATTGGAGTTGCGTGTGTGTGTGCGTGCCGATAAACACACACAAGCAAACACACACATACATTG